ACTATGTTATGCATCAATAGCAGCAACAGCTTTTCCAGGTTCCGCAGTCAACTGAACAAAGTTGTAGACATTCAGCACATTCCATTAAAAAGACAAAAACAAAAAAACAAAGAAAAGAATAATATCCAGAAAATAGCAAAGTTCTGTTGCTGTTGTGGTACCTGGGACCATTTTTAAAAATTAACATCTTAATCATCATCTGGAAAGAGAACGTTCTGGAGTAATATCATTAAAAATAGCTCTGATAAAGCACGGTCACTACTACATATCATACAGCAGGTACAAGATATTTTGCATTCACATAGGTATGATACAGTACTGTCCTACTAGAATCAGTTTTGGTTTGAAATTTGCTTTGTCTGCAAATAAGATTGCTACCCCTGCTTTTTTCTGGGCTCCTGTCACATGGAGAATTGTTTTCCATCCTTTCACTTTCAGTCTTTGGGCTTCTTTTTGCACTAAGTGTGTTTCTTGTATACAACATATTGTTGTATTTTGCTTCTTATTCCATTTTGCCAGTCTATTTCTCTTGATTGGTGAGTTGAGGCCATTGACATTGCTGGTTATAACTGATATGTACTGACTTATTATTGACATGTTATTGGCCTTTTGTTGACTCTTTTTACTTTTTCACCTTCTCCTTATTAGTTTCTTGCCTTGCCTATTTGATTTGATTTGTTGCCTTCACTGTCTTTTTCTAGGATCTTGTTTAAAATTGCTTGTAGTGCTGGTTTGGTATTCATGTAGTTTTGTCGTGGAAGTGTCTTATTTCCCCATCCATTTTGAAAGAGAGTTTTGCAGGATACATCAGTCCAGGTTGGAGGTTGTTCTCTTTTAGTTCTTGAAATATCTCACTCCAGGCTCTCCTTGCCCTAAGGATTTGTGGTTGAAAAGTCTGCTGTGATTCTGATGGGCTTTCCTTTGCATCTGATTTGTTTCTTTTCTCTTACTGCTTGTAGTATTTTGTTCTTCTTTTGGGTTTCTGGGATCTTGATTATTATATGTCCAGGTGTAGATTTTTTTTTTTATTGTGGCTAGTTGGGGTCCTATATCCCTCACTTATCTGAATGTCAACATCTTCCCCTCTGTTTGGAAAGTTTTCTGTCATTAATTCTGTGAACAACTTTTTTAAGTCATTTGTATTTTCTCCTGCTACTTCATGGATTCCTCTCAGTCTTGTTACTCTTCTTTGCATCATCTAGGAGTTGTTGGATCGATTTCTCATGATCCCCATACTGTTTTGAAAAGACCTCTCTTTTCACAGTCACTGACTGCAATCTTTTCTTCTATATCTGAGAGTCTATCTTCGCATTCTTTTATTCTCTTGCATACACTTTCAATGGAGTGTTTAATCTCCTGGATATCTGTTTGAATCTGTTTTATGGATTTCATTTCTTTCCTATGTTGGGCATTTATTTTTTCCATTTCTTTCTTATGCTGGGCCTTCATGGCTTCTATCATGGTCCTGAGCTCATCTATTTTTTTGTCAGTTTCTGCTCTAGAGTCTCGAATCACAACTTATATTTTGCTCACTATCTCTATGGTTATCTGGGAAATTATTTCTGTGTTGAATTTTTCTAGAGCCTGATGGATCTGTTTTGTTACTTCCTGTGCTTTGAGTTCAGGGTGTCCTGGTGGTTCACTATCAGCCTTTTCATCCTCATTTGCCCTACTGTTTGCCATTGGTGAACTGGAAGTCTGTCCTTGTGTCTTGCTTAAGTGTTTTCTCATTTTTATTTTTGTTGTCGGGCTGTCCTTGGTTTAATCTCTGGGTTATCACCTAAATCTTCCTGATATAGTTGTACCCCAGCTTCTGTGTCTCTAAGGATCCACAGAAATTCTCATCTTCATAACATCAGAGAAAACAGCTCATCAAATCAACGTCAATGCTTTACCCCAACTGATACAATCAGCGACACATTAAGATCAGGCACAACGTGGACACTGACCACCTCTGGTAGTCACTAGTCTATCACCCTTAAATCATTTGAATTAAATTGAAATCAAGAAGCAGTCCAGAACATGTCTGCAGTGAACAAACTTTTCAATATAGTATATTTACCATTTAATGGCTCAGACAGAGCAACGACGCAAGACCCCTGATCTCAGTTAGCTGATGGCTGAACCCCATGACGCTGACTGACCTCGGGCTGCAAGGCCCGGATTGAGTTCCCCAACCTTCTGAATGGTTGAACTCCACACCGTTCTACTACAGGTTTCCCACGCCCTTTCTTTAAAGATGTTCAAAGTTGGGAACTCAGAAAAATACCCTTGATGACCACCTCTGCCTCTGCAGAGTGGGTCCAAAGACTTGCACAGTCAGGAGGTCTGAGAGTGTGTGGGGGGGGGGGGTAAGGGGAGTTATGGGCGTTCATGGGCGCCCGTGTGGCTACCTTCCTGGCACTGGAGCGATGGGCGGCTGGGGTGGGAGAAGGCGTGGCTCCCCGTCCCTCAGTGCATTGGGGCCCGGCCCAGAAAACACCTCTTTCCTTGTCGGGCTGGCTCTGCCGAGTGCGGTATTCTTCCTCTCGGTCCTGTCACTTCTCTCTGACCCGGAGGGACAGTGGCCCGCTCTCCTGGGAATTCCAGCTCCTGGGTCTGGACCGTTCTGCCTTTGTGTCACCCACCCAGGTGTGCTGTTCGGAGTCCTGTGCCTCGGAATGGCTGCCCTGGCCTCGCTCATGGGAGCTCTGCTGCAGGTAAGAGCTGAGCCTGGAACGCCACGTGACTCCAGGGCTCTGAATGTCCCTGTGCCATTCCAGACTTCTCCAGAGTATCTCCACACAGGCCAGTCAGAGGACAGGCGACTGCACAGTTATTTATTTATTTATTGCCACCGGGGATTGAACTCGGGTCCTTGCGCTTGCAAGGCTGGCCACCGAACCGCTGAGCTAAATCCTTGGCCCCAAAAATAACATTTTCAACCTGAAGCATTTGTTTTTGTTTTTTTGGTACCAGGGATCAAACTCATATCCTTGTGCTTGCGAGGCAGGTGGTGGAACCACTGAGCTAAATCCCCGGCACCAAAAATGTAAAAGAAAATTTTTTTTTTTTTTGGTAGTGGGGATTGAACGCGGGTCCTTACACTTGCAAGGCCGGCCACTGAACCGTTGAGCTAAATCCCCAGCCCTGCGACTGCATATTTAAACGTCTTTTAACAATTTAACTCTTTATTCGGAGATACAGATTTACGTGCGTACAATCTCAGGAAGCGATACAGAGGTCGCACGTGTCCTTCACTCTCTGCTCTCCATGGTGGTGTCTTGCAAAAACATCTTGCAGTGGTAACCTTTGATAAGACCGTATTATAAGCAGAACACGAACACGGAAACAGTGAAACACGGAGCGGTTTCATCCCTGGACTGGTCCCTGCTGGTGCCCTTCACCTACTTCTCTCCCCACCCGCTCCCTCCTTGGCTTTTGGTGGCCACAGACCTGTCCTTTAGCCATATAATTTTGTCATGTCGAGTGTCCCATAGATGAAATCAGGTAGCACGCAGCCTTTGAGGTCTTCTTGGGTCTTGCTGTGAAAAGTGAATTTTGAGGGGACTTGGACTTTTTGTGTTTTCTGACCTTACACCTTCCATTTTGCTGGCTTTCTCTGTTTTTGGTGTGGTAAGGGTGGGCGATCACTGAGTTGTGACTGCTCTTCGGAGGAGGTAGGAGGGGAGCCCCTGAGGCACCGCTGTGGGTGTGGTGTGTAGCTGAAGAGACAGCTCGGTACATCAGCGGGCAGCGTTCACTGCTCCAGGTTCTGCAGCGCTGCCACTGTGTGTCACTTAGTAGAGCCATGCAGAATGGCCCTGGGGTTTCCCAGGCTTAGCCCAGGGGTTTAGGACACAAAGTCACTTTGTATAGTTGCAGCTCTCCTGCACCTCAGAACAAAGCTTGCCCTTAGGGAATAGCTTACTCTCTGTGAAAGAAAAGCCTGAGAACAGTCAGGCTGCATACAGATGTAAGAAGGCAGGAAGGGCCCCCCAGACTCTGAGCAGGGTCTCCAGGCAGAGAACCTCCCATCCTCAGGCTTGTGACCCCCACCGGCATCTGCCCCAGCCCAGCCTGGGCCTGCGCTCCGTCTCTTAGAGCACGACCCGAACAGACTGAGCTGGAATCTGCACCTGATGTTCAGGGTGAATCATGGTGTGTGTGTGTGTTAGTTAACAGAGGACAGGCGAAGTTGGTGAGAGTCGACATCCATTTCCTCAGGAGAATTGGGGGTGCGTGGGGAGCAGTCTGTCGTCCAGCAGTCCAGATGCCTTCTGCCACTGTCACCGTGGTCACCACTGTTACTGGAAACAGCTATTGTGCCTGGCAGCCTTTTGGGATGGACAAGACCCAAATTTGGCCTGCGACCAGGCTTTTGCACCTTTAGTACCACCTCCAGCAACACGGTGTCTCCAGACCTCACTGCTGGGCTTGGAGACTGCTTACTGCCCTGTTCCACCCCCACTGCCACTGCTCTGAAATCAAGCAGCTCCATGCCTGCCGCCACCGAGTCTGCTCAACAACTTTTACATCTCCCTGGGGTGGTGTTTCCAGGCCCTGGTGTCCCCTCTGCCTTTTCCATTTCCGATGGCCTGGTTTCCCATGTCCGGATGTGGCTTCCCAGACTTGATTCACGATGATGTGGCACTCAGTCCTACCCTCACTGCTGCCATCCAGCCACGGCCCACCTGTTGGCCTGCTGAGTGTCCTCATTGGCCCTTCCACACGTGTCCAGGCTTTACAGTAAGGTCCTGAGCACCATTTTTTAACGTTTGATAGTGGGGACTGAACTCAGCCTTTGCACCGAGCTACATCCTCAGCCCTCTTATTTTGTATTTTGAGACGAGTCTTGCTAAGATGGTAAGTTGCCCAGGCCTGAACTTGCAATCCTCCTGCCTCAGCAGAACATGGGGATTACCGTCCTCGATCAACGACCAAGTCCTCCCTGCGGTTAGGTCATTAAATGAACTGGTAGCTAAATGAGGAATTATACAGTGTGTCTGTTACAATATTAGGGACAGTGAAGTGGTCAAAGGAAACTCCAGCTTGACGACTCAATTTGCAGGACTCTTCCATGCAGTACTGTAATGTACAACAGAATGGAAAACTGTAGTGCTGTATGATGCTGAACAGTCAGCAAGAATTACAGTACAGTACAAACAAGGTGTACTGTACAAAAAGACAGCGACTCTATAAAGAAGAAGGACAGAGCTGTACAAAGGACAGGTTGTAGCTCCGAGCAGTTGTGAAGCGGGGATACCGGTGCTGTGCGCTGGGTGCTGTTTGCTGTGAGGTTCCAGCAGTCTCTGAACCCTAACCCTGCAGGGGTGGGAGGTGGAGTTCTGAGGTCAGTGACAGCCACGGGCCCATTCAGGTGTCCTGCAGAGTCACAGGCAGGATTTCCAGCCCTGGCCTGGGATTTCCAGGGGACAAGGCCGTCTCACGTTATCACGGCGCTTGCTGTGCCTGAGGCTCCTTCCTCATATATCGTCTCTGGCTGATGGCGCATGGTGAGGCCTTTTTGCGGAATCAGCATCGTTCCCCACCAGTTCTTCCTTGTTTCTTTGCTAATCCAGATCTTAGTCCTCTAACTCAGCGATGGCGAACCTTCGAGAGCTCTTGAATACAATGAACAGCCAGCTGCGGCACACGTGCGTGCGACAGGTTCACCTCCTGTGCCCTACCAGATCCTGTCCTGGTGTCTTTCTCCTTCTGTCTGCCACATGGGCTCCCAGTCCTGCTCGTCACCCTGACGTCCTGGGCCGTGTGCTCTTTGTCACATCTTGCGCGGAATCCGTCTCGCATCTGCTGGATTCTGTGAGCGCCGACTCCTGACCACATCCCCCCAGCAGTAGTCCTCTCATCAGCACCCCAGTCCTTTCTCCTCGTCACAGCGTTTGTCTAAATCCAGGTTTGCAGGGAGTCACAGCCCGGAGGTTTCTGGTCTCATCAGGGGTGCAGGCCACGCCTTCCAGCGTCTGCTGGTCCAGGTGCTTTCTCTTGGGCGCCTTGCTTCTGTCCTTACTGTTCTTTCAGTCTTGCCTGTGCTTTATTTCTTATAGACAAACGAAAGCGTTCATGTTTATGGGTGTCCTGTGATGTTTCAGTACATGTATACATTGTATCAATTTTCTTATCTCCCCGAATATTTACCATTGCCGTGAAAACATTCAATCCTTTCTTCTAGCTTTTAAAAATGACACAGTCTATTGTGTGTAGTCATTCTGCGCTACAGGACATCAACTCACTCGTCCTATAAAATCATAACTTAGCTTTCGCGTCGGCCTCCATCCCTCCCCTCGCCTCCCCTCGGAAGCCTACACCCAATTACTGCCGGTGGCGGTGGCGTAGTCTCCAGGAAGCTTCACTTTGCATCTCCTCCTGCTGCGCGTTGCAAATCACTTTGACTTTTGGCGGTTTTACGTCTCTATCACAAAGCAAGTTTCAAATCTCTTTCTATACCATTTTTCCGGCTTTCTTCGGAGTCCTTATTTTTTCCCTGGGTGCGCCACTGCCGGTCCCCCCGCAGTGCTCGCCCAACCCTGGGGGCCGAGCATCTGGAGACATCGGCCAGCGGTGTGGCCGTGCATCGGAACAGGGCTGCAGGCCTGCCCGCTCTCAGGGTCCTCTGGCCCACGCTTTGGTGCCTCTTTTGAGGGAATCCAAGGAGCAGGTGGACCCTTGGGGTCAAGAAGCAGGAGTCCTCGGGTTCTAACGACCCCTTTGCCAGCGACCAGGCTGCACAGGAAGGAGGGAACTTCTTTCCCCTTCACCGCTGTGGGACCGTCTTGAAACAACAGCTCGGGCCGGAGATTACGCGCTGTGACCCTGCGATCCTGTTCCTTTTCTCTCTCCCAGGCGGCCCTCAGCATCATCGGCATGATCGGAGGACCCCTTTTGGGCCTGTTCTCTTTGGGCATCCTGGTTCCCTTTGCCAACTCAGTTGTAAGTATGAAGAGTGGATGTGCGGCCCAGTTACTTTCCCAGCGATCGCGCCGCTGTGCGTCTTACTGTGCGCGCAGGGAAGATACGGTTGCTTCCAGAAGTGTGGTCAGTTACTCCCGCGTGACTGATTACCGCCGTGACTTAGACGGGGTGCCTAGGGGAGTACGTGAAGGTCAGTGGAAACGGCCAGGCCCCCGGAGAGCAACTGTACATATTCGTACTGTGACCGGAAGAGCAGCAGCCTGTGCCCTGCTTAAAAATGAATAGCTAGAGTTTAAAGGAGGGGACCGACATCCTCAGATCGGAGAGATTTAAGCACAGTCCGGCTGAGGATGCCCGCGAACAGTCATAGAGCACGAGATGTAGTGCGATCTCCACCACCTTGACCCGAAAGCTTGTGCTTGTGGTATTGTAAGGCTGTGGCCTCCAGAATGTGCTCGGGTGAGGTGATTGCACTTGGGAATCTGATCCAGGGAGAGGTAACAGCCCCATTTTTCTACACAGACCTATCTGTCGATCAAGTATTTACAGTTAGAATTTTGTTTGGAACGAATGAAATACGAGGTATTTCCCTGACAGCCAGAAGAAATCCAGTGGTTCTGTCCTGCCATCAGGTGAAGTTCAGGAAAGACTAATAAGACGTATATATTTCTTTCAGACGTTTGTGGAATAACTGCAGAACTCTAGCTTAGCATACAGATTTCCGTTCTCCTTACAGGCACGAGGAACTGGTAAGGCAGATTCTGACAAGGACTAGTACTATTATTGCGGAGAAGTCTGAATGGGGCATCAGGAGTAGATAGTGGGGGAAACTAGTCACAGTGAAATAGGCTAGTTGGGCACCAACTTGACGCTGTGCTTTGAAGTGCATAGTGGTTTGTTGCGTGTCTGGGAGACCGTCCGCTTGTGCTTTCTGACGTGTTGCCACCATGACTGGTGTTCACACTTTCTGAAGGTCTCCCGGTCCTCGTCCCCAGCACAGACCCCCTGCTCTGGCCAGTGCACTTCTCGCTCGCCCACCAGCACACGATTCTTCTTTCTCCCCCCTGGTTTCACCCCTGCCTCAAATACTCTTCCCTGCAGCCCCAGGCCCACTCAGGCTGCTATTACTAAATTCCACCACAGGGGGCGCAGCTTCCCAGCTCAAGGTTAGCTTTTGCCCCGGTCGTTTGGAACCAGGATTTAAATCATTCAAGAGCTGACAGAACACCCTGACAGGTCTCCCCTAGACCCCAGTCTGTCAAAGGATGAGAAATCCAGTGTTTTCAGAGGAGCCCCTGCCCAGGATCGCCCCTCTCCGACGGTGTCTCTGGAGATCTGGTCTGGCTCAGGGCTGGGCTGCAGTCATCTGTGACGCAGCTGTGTAGTTTTCCCCTAATTATCCTGCAGCTCAGTTACAGTCGTGCGTGTTGTTAGGTGTGAGGCTGACATGGACGTGCTTCCGTGTGCACACCCTCGCACACATGGCATGCCGTTCGTTCACAGATCAAGTGAACAGAGGGAGCAGCTGGCCTGTAGTCAACTAGCTCTGTGACTGTCAGTTGTTTTGGGTGTGAAGAGACAGGAGGTCAGAGCTCAGTGCTGGCCACAAAAACAGACTCAAACTGGAGGCATTCAGAATTTGCCAAGAAAGTGGGCATGATTTGGTGACGGGTTAGACAGGTATTTGAGGACGGGACTGGGGTGTCCTGAGCTGAGGAAGGGGCCTGTAGTCCACTTAGCAAGAGGCAGAGATCCTGCAAGGTGAAAGAGATGTGGGACGGGAGCTCGTGACTGTGGCGTGGATCAAGTTGACTTAACTTCCAACGGTTTCCATTCTAAAGCAAGTGGAATTATCTTTCTTTTAACATGCTTTTGTTTTCCAGGGAGCATTTGTTGGTCTGTTGGCTGGATTTTCCATATCCCTGTGGACTGGAGTTGGAGCTCAGCTGTACCCTCCACTTCCGGAGAGAACTATGCCGTTACACCTGGCTACGCATGGCTGCAACAGCACGGACAATGGCACCACTTTGGTGACTGCCACCGAAATGCCATTTTCTACCGGTGCTTTTGAAATCCACAATGCGGAAAGGTATCCAGTTTTATCATCTGTCTTAACGATTTATGTAACAAATAGAGAACACCAGTGGCTTGGTGTCTTGCCCATAACAGCATGATTTTTTTCCTAATTCTGAACCTGGCACCATCCAATGTGGGTCTTTGGCTATGACACATTCTTCAGCAATATCAAAAAGGGTATATTTTCTTAATTTCTATAGAAATTTCCTCCTTAGCTTTAGGTCTAAAGGAAACTTGAATATTAATGAAGCGTCTGTGATGGATAAACTACCAAATACCAACTGTCATTGCATGAAAAACTATCTGCCTTTGAGAAGTGTTTTCAACGCAAAGCTCAATTACAGAAAGAAATATAACTTAGCTAGTATTTGCAATAGATCCTCTACCGAGGAGCTTCTCCACCACACTGATCTGATCGTGTGGAGTAGTTGCTGGTCATTCTGTTTAAAGATTCCAGCTTTGGAGCACTATGAAGGAGGCACAGCTGTGACCTTCCTGCTGCAGTTTTCTCTTATGCAGCACAGTTTTGAGCCTCTGAATCCTGAGGTTGCCAGACTTAATGAAATAATGTCGGCTTGTTGGCAGAAGAGGGTTGCATTGTACTGAGAGTGTGGGAGCAGACTTTCCTTGGTGGATGCATCAGTGTGCAGGCTTACAGTACAAGATCTCATGCACATGTTCGAGGAATACAAAACTAAGAGCACCGTCCTGAGTGCCAGCTCCCACAGAAGACAGCCTTAGAGAGCTATTGCTTTTGGGTCGAGACATGATGCGTCCTTGTCCATTTTAATCACAGGCGTGATTAATGAAGCCACGCATGCCCCAGACTTGTAAATTCTTGCCAGCGGGACTTCTGGGGAAGTTCAGGGCTGTACGCTGTGTATGGATAGTGGCGAAGTTAGTTCCAGAGTCCAAGAAATATTTGAGAGACTAACATGCTATGAAGACAGAGGCAGAGAAATCTGGGGAGCAGTGTGGACCGGAGTTAAAACAGGAACAGGAGGGGATCAGGAAGGTCACCAGAGAGGGCCAAAAAGGGAGAAAAGATGAACTGAAAGTTAAGTGGGATAAGAGGACATTCAGACTGTCCTTCTGGCTACATAGCTTTGCTTAGCATTTGCCCCAGTTAGGTAAATACCTCCTCTAATATAAGAGCATAAGGCTAAACGGTTCTTTAGGTTCCTCAAATAGACGGATCAGCCAAGGTTTATTATGTTCCTGGTACTGTAGAAGTCACCTTTATGGGTTAGCTTATTTATAAAATAGTTCCGGTAATAGAGGATGGAGGTGTAGCTCAGGGGTAGAGTGCTTACCCAGCAAGTGTCAGGCCCTCGGTCCAATCTCCGGCAGCACAAACAAACAAACAAACAAACAATTCAGCTAATCAGTAAGAGTATTTGAACATGAACTATGTACCTAGCTATTTCTTTAATATCCACTTTACAGAGTCTCTTTTTCTTACCTGTTCCTATTTTCTAAGAAATGATAATATAATAATTCACACATGGTAAATATGATATTTGTTAAAAGAATTAAGAAAGACAGAGTTGGTGTATAGATTATCATGAAGATTTCAAAGATGTACAACTAATTGAAGAATGCAGTTATCTGGATGTAGGAGAAGGCTTTAAATGTCATTCTTGTCACAGAAAATAAACAAAAGGGAAGTTGGGCAAGAAAAGAAGTATTTAAGCAATACCTCGGGATAAGTGGTATCCACAGGCTATCATGCTAGCCAGGAGGTGGTGACCAGGAAATCTGTCTTGCTCTGTTAGCTGTTGCCATAACAGAATAATATACATCAGGTAATTTATTAAGAAAAAATTTGTTTCTCACCGTTCTAGCAGTTGGGAAGTCCAAGGGCGTCTCCAGCATCTGCCCAGCATCTGCTCAGCATCTCAGCGGAAAGGGTGTCTTCCTAATGTGGCCAGGAAGTGGAAGTGTCTTAGTGCTGCCCTCTTCCTCTTCTTATAAAGACACTGCCTTAGCTACTTTTCTCTTTGCTGAGACAAAATTCCTGACACCCACAGTTAAAGGAGGAAAGGTTCATTGTAGCTCACTTTTTCTGGAGGATTCAGTTCATAGGTGTCTGGCTCCAAGGTAGGGTGGCATGGCAGAGGGGCATCGCAGAGGGGAAATAGTTCATGGTGTGTAGAAGGCAGCAAAGCACTGAAGTAGCAAAGCAGCTGCAGCAGCATGCCTTTCCCTTTTATCCCTTCCAGTCTATCTACCCTTTGAATGGTGCCCCTCACACCCAGGGTAGGGTTCCCATTGTCCATGCCTAGAACTATGCCGAACCAATCAGTGGACTAATTTAGTAATCACATATCCTTAATCCTAGCATCACGTACCCTAGATCCAACCACCTCTGAGAAGTTCCACCAGTGACCACGTGAGGCTTTGGGGGACATGTAGGCATAAGCCGTAACAGGCACTACTTTCCTCCTGTTCATCCTGAACAGACCCTTCTGACATCATTTTACCCTGATTACTTTCCACAGTCTCTGCTCCCAAATGCTATCAACATATAAATCCAGGGATTGAGCTTCTAACTCATGAACTTCTGAGGACACATTGGAGCCATTGCATCTTCTTGTAGGAGTGTTACACAAGCTAGATTTAACTAGGAGGACAAGATTGGGACAAAGGTAGGGACCGAGGAAGGAAGGAAGAGTACACATTGCAGAAGGCAGAAACCAATGTACAGAAAGTCACCTCATTCTGTACAAGGATGTAGGTGACACAGGCAAAGACCTAAGATACCGGGTAGTTGTCCAGATTGTTTTTATTTTTTTAAACTTTCTAACATGAGTGTATAAGTATGTTAGTAGTTTTAACCTCATCTTCCTTATGATTAATAAAGTTTATATGTTTATTGACCATTTAGATGTCTGCTTTTGTGACTTGAATACTGAAGGCTTTGGCCTAAGTTTTCAGTGGACTCTGTCTTTTTATTATTTATTTGGGAATTATCGATGTATTCTTAATACAAGATATGGTTTGAAAATATTTCTCTCCCACTCCATGGATTGCATTTTTATTATTTTTTTACTTCTATATTTTGTAAAGAAGTCATGACTTCTCAGATAACCCTTAACGTATCAAAAGGAGGTTTAATCACAAAAAATTAGCTTCTTCAGAACAGTATCAAAGCTTTCATTTTAGAAGTAAAGGACTAACACAATTGTTTAGTTCAGCTTTTGAGTTTTCCCTCCGTAATATCACAGATGTAAATACATAGTATATTCTCAGTGCAAGATGTCCTGCGGTTTATATTTGGGCAACTCATTCAAATTTGCAAAACAACAACTATCAGGCAGATGAAACAAGTGTATCAGTTTGCAACTTTATTCTCTTAATAATATCTTTTGTTTGCCAGGATTTCTTAATTTTAATTAAGTGCAATTATGACTCTTATTCTGTATTGTTATTCCCTTCTGTGTCTTGTTGAAGAAATCTTCGCCTACCACGAGGTCCTAAAGATATTCCCGTAACTTTGCTTGTAAAGCCCTGTCATTATCCAGTAACCTTTGGGAATGAGCGGGGTGGTGAGGTCCAGGTTGACTTGCCCTCTGTAGCTCCCCTTCAGTAAGCCATGCACTCGTTACTGCGGGGACACGCCTGCCGTCCCGTTGTCACACAGGGCCACTACACTAGTGGGGAGCGGCGGACCGTGTCCCTGTGGGTCCGTTAGAGGCGCTGTCTTCTGCTCCATTTGGCCTGTGTTAGGCCCAGTGCTGTGTGGCCCTGTTTTCATTGGCTCCCATCACCGTGTTTCCCCGCCTCGTGGGCTCGGTCCCTCAAAGTCTCACTGCTTTGATCTCTCTGATGTTCTAAAAGACTCGCCTCTCTCCCCGTCCTCCAGATTGTATGTACTGTTCACAGCAGGATGGTTGGTCTCTACTGAGCTACTGTAGCAAAGCTGAAAGTGGAACCCTGGAGCAGTTGTTCTAGAAATAGAACAGACCTCTGACCTCTCTGCTTAAATTCAGGGGAGGTTGCCATTGCTGGAAGATTAGAATCTCAGCTCGTCCGGGGTCCTTCTCATCTTGTCCCGTTCTGTGTCCTGCTCACTGTATTTAGCTCAGCTGGTGTTTACCTCTCTCCGGGGAGATCTTTTTGTTACTCAGATTTCAGTTCAGATGTCATTTCTTGCCCAATGGTTTCTCTGAGCACTCTCGGTAGTGTGGCCCCTCCCTCTCTACCCAGCTAATGTGGCACCCTCTTGCTCTAGTTTCCTCACAGGACTTTTCACCAGTGGAAATCATGTTCATTAGTTTGCTTACTGGTTTACTGTATGTCTCTGTCCATTAGGATGTAAGCATCAGTGAATGGGAACTCTGTCTGCCTTAGGTGTGGCTGATTCCCATGACAAGAACGGTGCCTGGGACGTAATGCGGAGGGTAAAAGGCTAACGTGTGCTCATGGTTTCAGAGGATTCAGTCCATAGTCGCGGGGCCCTGTTGCTTTGGGTCTCTTGCGGCACAGCCCATCATGGTGGGAGTGTGTGGCCGAAGAGGTCGTGGCCAGAGAGCAGAGCGAGAGACAGAAGGAAGGGCCTGGGTCCCAGCGAGTCCTCTGCGGGCACTGCCCCTGCGTGACTAACTTTCTTCCACCTCACCCTGCCTCCTAAGGCCCCGCCCCTTCCCAACAGCACCAGGACGTGTGACTGAGCCCTCACGCGGGGCCTTCAGAAGACAGTGATCCAAACTACAGCAGTGTGCGGTCGCACCGAGGGTGGGACCTGAGTTCATTTGGATCAGAGTGAGAAAACACAAATTCTAGTCCAGAGTAAGCGCTCCAAAGATGGCAGCCGAGAGAGCTGGGTCCCTGTAGGCTGAAAACGAGATGACGGCGGAGTGGTTGTTGCAGTGGACGGGAATAGCGCAGCGCCTGGCTCTTCCTTGGCCACGTGTATTGTACGTTGCGATCAAGAGTCGTGATGAGCACGAGCGGCTCTCACTGGGGTGCTTTCTTATTTTTATGGTGCCAGGGGGTCCGCAGAAACTTGCACCACCGTCGCCTCGGACTCCTACTTCCTGTTTCCCCAACCTGGCGCCTTTTGTGACGCCATTCCCGGGACATTTTAGGTCCTCTCCCGAGTGTATGGTCGGGGAAGCCGTCCTTCCAGGAAGTGAAGATCGGAAGAGCGGATTGTGATATTGGAAACATTGGTAAATAGAGCGTTTCTGCCCAGCCTTGAGGAGCATTCATTCACCCATACAGACAGTTGCTGGTAGCACTGCACTAAATCTTACGACTCTGCTTTTGCTGTCTTTTAGGACTCCACTGATGAGTAACTGGTATTCTTTATCCTATCTGTACTTCAGCACTGTTGGGACTTTGACAACATTGTTTGTGGGGATACTTCTCAGTTTGTCTACAGGTCAGTATCTTCACAATATTCTTATAATTACCCCGGGTTTAACTGTGTCTGTTTTGTTTGTTTGGGGTTTTTTTGTTTTGTTTTCTTTTTGTTTTTTTGAAACAGGGTATTACTGTGTAGTTGAGACTGACCTGGAACTCACTGTGTAGCCCAGGCTGGTCTCGAACTCACAGCAATCCTCCTGCCTCAGCCTCCCGAGTGATGGGATTACAGGTGTGCGCCACCACGCCCGGCTTACTGTGTCTGTTTTATAGCTGTCTCTTACTGTTATCCTGTTAACACCCAATTTATTATTTCATCCACTTTACTCATGGGAATTTGAGAGCCTGGACTAGAGAACAGATCGTCTCCATTTGAACCTTGGCTCTGCCGTTCTGTAGATGTGTAGATCTGGGCAGCGACTCTGAGCATTCACTTTCTTCGGTGTAAGATGAGGACAGTAATAACTGAGCCACCTAGCTCACAGGGTGCTATACAAGTAAGGTGTTTGCAAAAGCTACCTGTAGCTACCACAAAAGTTTCACAGACCGGCCTTATTTGAGGAGCTTCCCATTGTACCATGTTGGCTATTTGTAAACAGTAGGTGAGTACACACACACACACACAAGGAATAATAACTATGACATTTATGTTTAAACATGATATAAAAGCTTTTTAAAAATGTTAATACACTTTAAAATAAGTATCTTTAGAAAAATCAAATTGAGCTGGGTATGGTGGCACACGTTTGTAATCCCAGCACTCGGGAGGCTGAGGCAGGAGGATCGCTGTGAGTTTGAGACCAGCCTGGGCTACATAGTGAGTTCCAGGTCAGTTTCAACTACCTGTCTCAAGACCCTATCTTGAGAAAAAAACAAAAATCAAACTGATAGTACACAGTGTTAACTGGTCTATGGGATTTCTATGGCACTTTTACCCTTGGACATTATTTTGTCTTCATTGTGAGAATTCTCTTACCCTCTATCCTGTGTGGGGTTCCCTGCTGTGTATATCCCTTAGTCCTTATTTTTGTTTATTCTCCTAATTGAATGAGTGCATCCTATAACATTTTCTTGAGAAAGGGGAGACAAGAAGAGAAGTTTTGAAAACTGTGTGTCTGAAAATTTTTTAATCTCTTACACTTGATCCATAATTTGAATAGGAATCTTAGGTTGAGAATCACTCACCTTAATTTTCTCCTGGCTTCCGTGCTGCTGCTGAATGCCAGTGGCATGCTGCCTGCCGGTCTGCCTTGCCTTGGCCCTCAGGAGGATCCTTTAAACCTGAAGACTTGTGTCCTTCAGTTCTGAGCATTTCCTTATGTTATTTCTTTTCTAATTTCTGCCACTTTCTGTTTTCTCTTTCTGGAAACTCTGTTGGTCAGATGTTTGAGTCTCGGACAGTTCCTCTAGTCTCTCTGCCTCTTCTGTCCTGTTTTCCATTTCTGTGTCTTTTAGGTCTAGTAGATGGATATCTTTTCACTTGCTTTTCCAAACCTTCTCAAAGGAGCCCATGATACAGTTTGAGCATAGTCTGTAGGACCACGGGCAAGTTCCAGTGCCGAAGTCCAGGTGAGAGAGCACAGTGCGTGGCTGGGAAAGTGGTGTGGGTTGGGGAAAGTGCTGGGCTCCCTCATCCCCTACTGCCCTCCCGCAGCCACATCCAGGGAAGCTGCCCCTGCCCTCCTTGTGTGCTGACCACTTGGAAGTGCTACCTTTTGTCCATGTGTTTCTTTATGCTACAAAGTGACCTGTGCAGTCCTGCTTTATAGAATCCTCTTATCAGTTATTGCTTTTGACACGTAGATGGCGCTGTTTTTCACTCTTACTGGTACATGGTGGCCCAGGCACACCCGTGTGTATGGACCACAGCTCACAACAGCTAACTTCCTCGTTCACCAGCAGGTGAATGGGTAAAGAAAGTGGTTTTACACACCACGGAGCACTATTCCAGGGAGAAGGACACACTTGAGTCATTTGTAGGAAAATGGATGCACCTTGAGGCCTTGATATTAAGTGAAATAAATCAGACACGAGTGTAAACATCACAGGGCTTCTCTTGTATAGAAACCCAAATTATAAATAAGGAGCATAATAAAAAATCGACACTAGGAAATAGGGAGGTAGAGCCTTGTCGCATGAGAAGGAGGTCAAGAGACGGAGGAAGAGGAAGGGAGGAGAGGGCAAGTGCATGGATGAAAAGGGAGTTGTGTACCAGCTGCACACGATGTGAACGTTGTACACTGCAGACCTGCGCCAATAAAAATTAACTCTGTCATTGGTGACTATAAACTTTATAGGTGTCTGTTGCCCTTCAGCTGTTTTAAAGTATTCTGGTTCATTTTTCAGAGACTTTTTTGCATAAATAAAAATTATTATTTTTAAAATTAAACATTTTAATAGTATCAAGATTTATTATAAATATTATTTATTACTGACATAATAGGTTTATTCTTTTATCTGTTTTGATGTATTCAAGACAGATTTACAACTTCTCTCACCAGTCACCCAGTTGTTTAGATCTGGAATATACCTAACCTGTCTCCTGTACTATTTGATCTTTGGCTTTTACTTAACTTCCTCAACTTCATTTTTTAAAGAAAGTGAGATGTCAGATTATTTCCTTTGCGTGTTTCTTCTTTCCTTCTTAATTGCTATGATTCTGATATGTGATGTTTTAGTCGCTTTCCCAGCCCTGGGACGAAATGCCGGACACCCACAATTTAAAGGAGGAGAGATTTAACTTGGCTCGTGGTTTGGGGGGTTCAGTCCATGTTTGTCTGGCTCCAAGGTAGAATCGGCCAGGTGGAGGGCAGGGAGGGAAAGCTGCCCACTGCCTGGCAGCCAGGAAGCAGGAAGGGATGTGGAGGACGATCCACCCTTTACAGGAAGAAGCCCCGTAACCCACTCGCCCCCCAAGCCCCAGCTCCTAAGGACACCTGAGCTGTGGACTCGTCAGTGGGTTGACCGGCTGATGAGCACGGAGCCCCAGCACCCAGTCGCCTTCCAGAAGCCCCGCCTGTGAGCAGAAGAGGCTCCCGGAGAACATTGTAGATCTAAACCACACCATCTGTGTATTGCTCTTTTATTTTGAAAAGCGATGCTCTGTGCAGATAAGCAGGCACAAAGTAGTGAAAAGCAGTCTCACTGCGTTCGTGTCACAGATGACTTTACTCCTACTCCAAGAGCACCTTGTTAAGACTCCAGAAGCGTGCAGTTCTGCTGGTCTTTGCTCCAGATGGGAGCAGATGTTTTCCTAAGGAGATCAGGAGCTGTTACTGTGGCACTGTTTCAGTCGCTGTGGGTTTTGCCCCCTCTAGCCGGGCCTTAGCGTACAGTGGGCACTGGGTCACGTCGAATGCATTGAAGGTAGGCGCTGTCTCCAGAACAGCGGAGATTCCCGCAGCTAAAAGTCTAAAGTATTTGTGTCAAAATGATGGTTCTCAAATTGTAGAGGGCAGCAGAATCATCTGGGAAGTTTTCCCGGGTGGAGGACTCGGTGGCCCCATTTACAGGGACCCGGGTTCAGTTAGTCTGGGTTGGAGCCTGGAAATCTGTCTCCTGAGCACAGTGCTTAGATGCCTTGGAGGGAGGTGACTGGAAGACTGTACAGAAGCATTCTCTTTGATCCACAAATAAAATGCCAAACCAAGGGGCTATGTTTTGTAAAGCAAGCCTTAGGGAAGAGGGTGTGGACCCAACACTGACTTGCACTGAATTAACTTAGTGGCCAGTTCACAATTCCCTGCATTTCTTCACTTTCGAATATTCAGAGTCGCCAAAGTGGGGAAAGGCGGCTTTAGCACCCGATGCAGGGGCAGATGGCTTAAAATGCTATGGGTGGGTCACAGAGGATACTTCCCAATCAGTTTTCCTACCAGCACGGGGGCGAAGGACTCTAGTTGAGCACCAGAGGCAGTGTGAGGGTTGACGGAGGAAGGGATTGGTGGCACTATGGAAGTTTGCCTGTTTTGTGGGTGTGTAGTGTGTGCCCTATGCGCTAGCTGCCCATGTGATAGGATGACAAATAGGTGCGGTACACATATCTCTGTAACAATGTAAATATTGTATGTTTTTCAGGAGGAAGAAAACAGAACTTAGACCCCAAATTCTTACTCACCAAAGAGGACTTTTTATCTAATTTTGATATTTTTAAGAAAGTAAGTTGGCTTTCATTTCCCTTACATGAGGAAACTGGGCTTTGTCACCTGGATGGGGCTCTAGTTAGTTCTCAGCCTGTCTCTTGGACAGGGTGGGCAGGGAAGGTGTGCGTCAGCTCCTTGGATCCTGCCCGGGTCTGTGGCTGTCATCCTGCCCCCTGCTGATCTCTAATCCATTACACAGTCCCCTCCCACCGTAGATTACAAAGCCATCATAAAGAAATTAGAACAGCAGTGTGCTGGGGATTTAGCTCAGTGGTTCCACCACCTGCCTCACAAGCTTAAGGACCCGAGTTCGATCCCTGGTACCAAAAACAAATAAAACAGCAGTCAGTGGCAGTTATTTAGCATTACAAAATTTTCTTTTTGCTAATCGCCCATTGACATTTCCTCTTAGGAGGACCACGTTTTAAGCTACAAATCTCACCCGGCGGAAGGCGGCGGAGCTGATAACCCTGCCTTCAGCCCCGAGGAATTGAGCTTCCCCGATCAAAGCGGCAAGGTCGGCGGGACTCGCCTGTGAAGTAGCGCGGATCTGAGAGGCTTTTAAAATCCTGCCCGGGTTTTCTAGAACAGTGGGGCCAGGATTGGATTTGTGTTCTGTCCACGTGGGTGTCTCGGGGGCTCCATTTTCGCTCACGTCAAGTCTCCAGGGATGTACATGGTCCCCGTGAAGAGCCTGAGCCTCAGTCTTTCGCTGTCTCCCTCATTCCAGTGAGGCTGCAGTTCCGACTCCGTGCATGGCGAAGGCCTGACGCACACGGATACACCGGGTACTTGGCAGGCAAAGGCACCGGGGATAGAACTCTGGCCCTTGCGCTTGCGAGGCAGGCGGTGGCACCACTGAGCTAAATCCCCGGGCCTTCAGAGGCATAGTCCTAGACTTGGACATTACCCTTCCCATGCCTTTGGTCCTAGTGTAAAACTTGCGGGTTGCCAAAATCATAATCAATATTGCAAAGAGCTTTCTCCCTCTGACCACATGCTGTTCTCTTGGGGAGCAGCGAAATGCCAGGCCTGTGGGTGGGGCTTAGCTTCTTGCCCTGGGTCGGCTCAGAGCCTGTAATAATAACCTTGGGACTGATTCTGGCGCAGGGGGGTGGAGATGAGGAAACCGACGCCGAGGATCAGACTCTGGCACCTTGTGCCTTTGGCTTGCTTTCTGAGGCGCGCCTGGCCTTTGCTTACTTATATCACCTACGACTGTAGTTCCTGTCTGTAATCCTGGCTTCGTTTTGGAGCCACAGCTTGCCTTCCTAGTTTCCTGTTTACTCTGTTGCCCTGGGCTCGGATATGCCTTGAGACAGCCAGTGCACACCGCGCTACACAGACCCCGGCTCACCCAGTCCCAGCCTGGGAATGAAAAAATCATGAGCCCGGTACTGATGGGTGTAGACTGATGTGGGTTCTTACAGATTTGGTGACCCAAGAACACTGTATTTTTAAAAATGGTCAGGTTGGGGGTGGAGCTCCGTGGTGCAGCACTTGCCTAACGTGTGCAAGGCCCTGGATTCCGATCCTCAGCACTGAAACTAAAAAAATTAAGTTGCACAGAGTTAGCTGGTTTTACTCAATGTTATCAAATTAAACACTGGAATGTCAACTAAAACTAATTTGTGCTCACTTAAATTGATTGATGGTTCCTCTGTTTAGCCATCTTGAAATTTTAGTGTATTCATCTAGATAAGAGGCTAAATTGAATACTAGGTAGTACTATATTTTTAATATACCAGACTTACTAAATGTTTTGTTTGATGCTTTAAAATTTTATATAGCAGTCTCAGAGTTGCTTTGTTGTTTCTATTCCTATGTTCCTAGCTAAGCGTTTAGTACAGGATTTCATCAGTAACTTATTTTTCTACAGTAATCACATTAGATACTGTTTAAAAGTTTTTTAAATTAAAAAAATTTTTAAAAGATGAAAGAAATATTTGGAAACATAAAACATACAAATATTTTGTAATTCAGTGATTTTGTGCATATTTTCTGACCTATTTTATTTGGGAAACCATGCCCTACACAGTATAGGCATTAAGAAATAAAATAGGAATTAGCATTTCTCAGGAGCAAGGGATTGATATAGCATTTAAATTCACTGTGTATTCCTATATTTCTTATGTGTATAAGTGCTATTTTTAATTACTATACTTGTAAGCAAACCACATTTTGCGAATCTTTCCACAATGTTTTAGTGAGATATAATCTTATTTGTTCTATGCTACTGTGATTTGAACTATGGTTATTTATGTAGTAATTCTATGTGCATATGTTTGTACAGTGATTCGATTTTGAAAATCAAAATCAGGTTCTCTAACTTTTTCTCTTCACTGACTGCCTAAAAGTTAGGCAGTGTGTGTTTTTTTTTTTTTTTTGGCAGTGTGTTTTTAATGAGAGATATACTTTCATTCTTGTCTGTTTTCCTTAAGACAAAGTAGATCTCTGTGAAAACTGAGACTATCACTGTTTTACATTTACAAACATGTAAATAGGTTTCTTCACAAACGACGTAATATTGTTACTAATTAAAAATAATTTATCTTAATTTCTAAATTTGGGGGTAAAATAATGGAAACTAAATAAGCTGCTTTTCTTAATTATTTTGAATCACAGTAACTCAGTGGGAGAAAAAGTCATGCAAATTGTCAATTTTTTTTGGCCACTGATGAGTTCTCTGCCCTCGAACTGACCCTTAACCTCCTCTGCTGATTGTATCCCGTGTTACGCTCTTGCCCACCTGACAAAAGTAATGTGAGCATAAAAGGTCAGATTGAGCTTTTCTGGCAGAATGCCACTGTATTAACTCAAAATAGCACTGCTAATATTCCTATAAGATTGAGAATCAAAACCTGCGACCAGATCCACTTTCCAATGTTTTAAAAGATGAGCTGCTAATAAGTTGTAATATAATGAGGTAGAGATAGAGTCTTCTCAAAAACCATGTGCCCTGGAAAGATGAAATATATTTAGGAATCAGCAAGATTATTCCAGTGGAATAAATGTACACTTTAAAGAAAAATGTAGATGTCCAATTGGGGTGTGCGCGACTGGCATCCGGTGAGCAGCATTTAAGGGAAGCTGCGGGTGGCTAAATGTCCCAGGAAAAAGGTCAGCTACCCTCTCTCCGACCCAGACCCCAGTAGTGTGAGTCTGAGAATCCTTGCCCTGAGAGTGAACGGTGAGCTTCCTGAAGCCACACAGTTTGGTGGTCTTTCTTCAGGAGTGTGGCCTGACACTCGTGTGTGAACACTGTCATCAAAGGGTGACCGTGAAGACACCAGGGTCACGTGAGATGTTAGGATGCAGAAGAATGGCCACGTGTTCTTACAGCATGTTGAGGGCTGTGGAATTGTGAATACTATGCAAACCAGCCCTTGAATGGCTTAGCTTTCTACGTGGTTTCTAATAGTGACATATATTAGGATGAAGGAAATATTAAATGTATGAATGTAAAGATTTCATATTAATCATGAAAACCACAGGAAGTACAGGATTAAACAACAACAACTGAACGTCCCATGACACAGCCACATGGGACAGGGTTAAGGTTGGCACGGAGCAGGTAACTCTCTGAATTGATTCTGAGAGTTTTGCTGAGGTTTTTTTCCCATGAAGATTGTTGGTAAAGAGTCAGCTGAGGGGTTGGGGTACAGCTCAAGGGTAGAGCACTTGCCTAACGTGCTCAAGGCCCTGGGCTCAATCTTTCACACAAACAACAAAAACAAACAAACAACAAACAAACCAAAGCCAGGTGAGTGTGTGGCCATTTAGTTAGTGAGAGTTCCTTGTATGCTTTTGATTTAAGCACCATGCCTCTCGTTTATGAAAAGCTTGAGAGGGTTGAACATTACAGTATAAAACGTGGTTGCCAACCTGATTTTTCAAGTTGCAAACAAGTCGATCAAACTATAAAAAACTTTGTGGTTGCCCGTTGTCTTGCAGATGTAAAAATTCTTCCTATGCTTTTTACAGTTTGGCTATAATGTGCCTGGAGTGAGGATCTTTTCTGGTCATGTCTATTTGGGGATCTGTAGGCCTTTTGTAAGTGTATATCCATGTCTTTCCCAAGATGGGGTAAATTTCTGTTATTATTTCATTGAATAGGTTTTCTAGTCCCTCAACCTTTACTTCTTCCTATCCATTTCCTCAATGATTTGGATATTTGATATTTTAAAAGTATTCCTACCATCTTCTATGTGCTATTCATATTTTCCCCTTATTTCTATCTGAATGTGACATTGTGAAAGGCTGCTCTTCAAACTCTGATAGTCTCCCTTCCACTTGGTCTAGCTTGTTGTTGAGGTTTTCATCTAGAATCTGTTATAAGAGAGAGAGAGTTAAGATCTTTCACATTTCTTGCATCTCTATTTGAGATTTGTGCACCCAGTGAAAATGCCTATCTCTCCTCTGAAGATGTGCCTCAGGATTTGGAATGTTTATTTCCAGCTCGATGTCATACCGTGATCTTCTCATAGTTTCCTTGGCTGTGGTGAGTGGGTTTGGGCACAATGTGTGCCATATTGGGTTGGAGAGATCACTGCCTCTGTGGGCCTGGGAGAGGGGGACACCCCAGCATGTCTGGAAGTGTTGTGTGAATGGCAGATTGTGGGGGGCACCTTGTGCAATTATTCCTGCAATGGGAGCAGTGGCCCTATGGCGTGACGGGTGTTTCTCGCATGGAACTCTGGTTCTGGCCTTTAACAGTGGTGAGGGGCGTGAAGCTCTTGTGCTCTGATTAGACATTAGCACAGGTCCAGGTATTTGGGGAGAGGGAGGGATAGGAATCACAGCAGCCCCTCTGTGACACGCACACCTGGTTCTGACAGTAGCATGTGATCGGACAAGATGTGGAGGTGACCGACCGGTGTGGGGAACCAGTGGCAGAAAAATTCACTTATTCTCCTCTGCTTCTACTGTGAGTGTCCCCAGGAGCGGGGCCTCAGGCCCATCTGGCTTTGCATATCTAGAACAGGGTGATGGCTCGGGGTCCCCTTACCTTTTGGTTGTAGTTCCCTCAAGGGGTGGAGCCGGGTGGGTTATGTCTGGGGCCAGGTAAAATTCTCTGAGCTGAGGTGCTCACTGGGAGCAGAGCATAGCATGCACGCTTTCTCAGTGCGTTTGTGTCAGAGTCGCTCCACCGGGCCAAGTGTGGCTCACTGGGCAGCTGCCCCCTGAGCCAGTGCAGTGGGCTCTCTGTGGGGCCCCAGAGATGGGAGTACACTGGGCTTTTAGCCAAAATCAGACAATAGGTTTCTTCTCAAGATGGTGCCCTGGGCGATCAATGGAAGGTGAAGTGAATTCCTTTTCCAAAGCCTGGCTGCTATGCAGATTTCGGGCCTCTTAGCCATTTAGGGTACAAACAAGCAAGGACCGCAAAACTCTCTAAGAGCTAAGACGGTCAGTATCTGTGCTGACAGATACTTGTCTGTCAGGGACTTTGCTTCGCTTCTATTGCTGTGGAAGGGAGACTCCCCTCTCCTGGCCAAGGGGCCAGTGAGGCAGACGCTGGGAAATGTTTCTCTTGACCTGTTGTGGTGTCAAGTCTCTGGATTTACGAGGTTTCTGTTTTTCTGCTATTGAGCTGGAGTGTTTTCCCGCGGCCCCTCCACGCCTATACAGCCCGTTGCTTTCTTGTGTACCTCTGTCGGTCACCTGGTCAGTCCCCTGAACACCCAGGCTTTTGCCACTTCGCTCCAACCCGGTGGCAAACGTCTTCACTGTGACTCTGGTGTCCTTGGCTTGTGAAGACAGCATGTGTGAGTAGCCGTTCCTCTTGGTGTCCCCTGGGGGCCGCTGCTGCAGCCTTCTCCCCTCCACAGCCCGTTGCTTTCTTGTGTACCTCTGTCGGTCACCTGGTCAGTCCCCTGAACACCCAGGCTTTTGCCACTTCGCTCCAACCCGGTGGCAAACGTCTTCACTGTGACTCTGGTGTCCTTGGCTTGTGAAGACAGCATGTGTGAGTAGCCGTTCCTCTTGGTGTCCCCTGGGGGCCGCTGCTGCAGCCTTCTCCCCTCCCCC